CCATGCACGAAAAATACCACTTTTAGTACATTTATAAAAAATGCGGCAACCATAACTGAGCGCGACGCACTAATCCCATGACAAAATGAGACTGTGTTGGTGTGCCCAGCTATGCTTTATAGACCTAATGCAATGCCACTTTAACATTCAGAAGATACTTTACTTTTTCCTATGACTTAGCACACGAACTCTGTTGTCGTTTTGTTCAAAATATACCACTGTTATACAGCAAATCTATTTTAAAATATAATATTGTTTGACACATTTAGCAGCAGATTGCAAAATCTTTAAAATCTTTGCAAAAGTTAAAAGTTTTGGGCTCAAATATATAACAGAATAATAGAGTTGAGTCTTAATTGGGGTTGCCAGATTCTGAAATGGAGAAAGGAGTATATTTCTATTTTCGATAGAAAGAAACAGTATAAACCTAAAAAAACGAGTAAATTTTTTTTTGAAATTTTTGTGCAATTTATTGTTAGAAATTATAAAAAAGTAAATATATATATAATCACATATTTGTAGGGCTGTGCGATTAATTGATTACTCAAAATTTTAATTAATCATAAAGTAAATAACTCAATTATTCGATTAATTGGAAATTATGATTACTCAAAAGTTCAGTTACTCGAGGAATCAAGATTTTTGATTACCCAAAAACAAAAATATTTGAGTAATTTGCTTTATGATTAATCAACATTTGGAGTAAAATGAGTAATCAGCATTTCAACTCTTTACATATGTATCGCTACCTTAATATAGAAAGGCCCTAGCTCATATAGTCGCTGAAATGAAAAAAAGCCGTAACTGATTAAAATTTTTTATTGCTTAAAATGATGTGGGAACTTATAATTCGATGAAATACATCATGATAAATCGAAACGGGAATTTTGGATTTTTACTTAGTTAATAGCATAGGTCGCCGTATTAGTATTCCTCTTCGAGTTCATGCTCGTCTTAGCATTATCTTCGTTAGCAGGATAATTAATAGAGGCATGCACTGCGACCAGCAGTTCTATTGTGCCCATCTTCGTTAGCTAAGACTTCTGAAACAGCCGGCAGCTCTCCTAAATATAGTTAAGAAATAAACAAATCTCTAGCGTCTGGTATTATGATACCTACATAAATATTTCATGTGCCCGATGAATTAAGTTAAATTTGATTGTTTAAATACGTGACAATGCTCCTAAATACAGTTCAGAAATAAAGCCTTTTTAAACCCATTTCATTTGATACCCATTTTTTTAATATTTGCTTTAACTTATTAAATCATTTGAGTTTACGTATTTACCAGGTGGCAACCCTCTTTAATTATCTAAATATTTAAACTAAGGATATCTTACCACATTCGATTCACGTAATATTTTAATACTAGTGAACCCTCATGGCGTCAAAACGCCAACGTTTAATTAAATTTTTTTAAAGAGGTTAACCCCTATTAAAAAGCTTCTTAAAATATTTTTATTCTCAGAATTGAAAATTGAGTACAAATCAGTACAAAGTTTTGAAATAGGACATTAGCGTACTGATTGAAGAAACGAATAAAGTTAGTACGAGATTTGAAAAATCGGTACTGTACTGATAAAATCACAACGTCTGGCAACCGTAATACAAACGTGCTTTATATGCGGTTCATGGTTGCCACTCGCCAACATTTTTTTCTACCAAAATCTCTTAAGAAAAGTTACCAAATCTTCACTACTAAAATCTTCACTTCTTCACTGAGAAAAAAATATACTGAATAAAACTGCTATATTTCTTAACAAATGTGTGTAAGTACAGCCAGTTTATGTGACTAAATAAATTCAATATTTTTATAATTTGTCAATTTTTGATTATTTATCAAGAACTCACAGTTCTAGACAGAAGTTTAAATCTATTTTCTTGATAAATTATCAAGATTGAAAATGCCATTGACAGTTATAATATTTTTTTTTATTAGAAAATATTTTGCTATCAATTAAGTACTGCATGTGCCGTTATTCTCATTTTCGTTGTTGGTGTTTCCGACAGAGTAGGTAATGTGGAACGATTTTCCATCATCCCTTCTCAAATTTGGTTTGGAGACTAGCCGGTTTCGACGTTGTGCCTTTTTCAGTGTCATTTGTCGTTCGGAATGTGCCGTTATTGGGACCTGCGACTCACGGATTAATGGCACCGGTACACAAAAAAAAGTTGCGCGTGCTTTTAACCGTCCATTTGACTCGTACAAAATTTCGAGTAAATTGCGAAAATTGCAAGTTGTTTTTGCTGTTTTTTCGGTTTTTCATAATTTATTGTACGTTTCAAACGGTCGTCAGATTCGGATTCAGTGGGTCTAAATACATGTCGGTAGGTGGATCTAGTAAAAAGCACGCGACATTTTTTTTGTGCCGGAATAATTAAAACGATTTCAAAAAATGTGAGATGGTAGAATTCAAAATGTATCGCAAAAATTCGAAAGTTGTTTTAGAAGTGCAGCCCTTGGTGCTGCCACTGTATTTCAAATATTTCCAGTATTCGAATATGAGATGACTTTAATTTTAACGAAGTAATTTTGTAGAAGTGTCAGTAGTGCTGCCATTGAAACTCGAATGGTTTTTATAATTACGAACATGCAAAATATAATTCATTTCTTTCTAGTAATGCAAATAGATATTTATTTGCAAAAGTTACCAAAATGAAACAAAAGTTACCAAATCGTTTAAAAATTACCAATTTTGGTAAAAAGTGACCAATTGTGGCAACCATGATCCGGTTAGGTACCAGTTGCTTGGAGTGTAGCATACCTTTAGGCACTAGGTGTTATTAGTCGCAGTGGTATTTATGCTTTTTCCTACATAGACAAAGTCCTTCACTACTTCTAACTTAAGGCCCGTTTACATACAACTTTGGCGTTGCGTTGGCGTTGGCGTTGGTTTGACAGAACGCACGTTAAAAGTATGCTTGCTACAATGAACGCTTGGCGGCGAATCCTTGGGCCACTAAATTAACATATTAACGACAGATAAATTAATATTTCATATCAATAATTGCATTAAAAACGATATTTCTTGCCCGCACTTGATTAAAAAGGAAAAATATTTCACATAATTTTATTTATTCGCAACAGCTGACGAGCGACGCAGGCGAAAAGTTGAGAGTTGGCCATCTTTTTGCTTTGTGTTGGCGTGAGCGTTGTCGAATTTTGGCTATGTGGACGGCTGCATTTGAATTCATGTATTCATAGTCAGCTGTTGAAGCGACGCCAACGCCAACGCAACGCCAAAGTTCTATGTAAACGGGCCTTTATAGTTGCCAACACTGACGTGTGTACCGAGATGCACGGACCCTTTTAGCTCAGTTATGCATACTTGGCGTTGCATGAGAGTTGTCACATAAGGAATCTGTTAAATGAGTTATGCGTGTAAGCGGTTACCCAACGCATAGACTTCACATGTAGAAGTTTGTTGGGCTTTGATTTTTACGTAAAAATGGTATAGCAGTGCAAAGAATGCATAACTGGGCTATTTATATGTTGCCAGGAGGTACTTTGTCTTTAAGGGCCAGTTTCTCAATGTCTGGTTACACCCACTGACACCATTCATATAACACTGTGTCGATAACGCCGGCAACTATGTTTAACTGGAGATTAGTATTAACCAGAGATGGTGAAAACGGCCCTTAGTCGATAACCATACATGGTGAAAACGGCCCCAAAAGTTTTTATTTCAGGTGGTGTAAAAAAACGGAATACATCAAGTTAACTAGGACAGTCATTATTGCCGCAAATATTCACTAAAACAGTATATTTAAGAAGGGCAAAAGATGATGAATCTTTGAAAAGATTTAATATTCGTGAAGCTTTGTGCTAGTTTGCTCGCTAGTACTTTGATCAGGCAAAGGAAAGTGCGATCAACCTAAATTTCTTAGTTAGGGGTATAAAAGTGACAAAGCTAAGAAGAAGATGGAGTGGAGTATGTGTTCCGATTAAAGCATGACTTTGTATGTCCTACTGAAAAACGTCCACTTATACGAATACGTAGACTCGCTATTTTCCGTTCGCAAATGGTCAAATTATTTCCGTTTCCGAACTTAAGTTGCACTTTTGTACGATTGCTGTGCCACCCTTTAGATACTTGGGTAGAAACATGTCCGCTCTGTGTTTCTTATTGTTCCTGCCTGTCGACTGAGGCAGGATCATTCAAACACACCGAAAGGATTTCTTGTAATTTAGCGAAACATCATGGAAGAGCAGGTGCAGTATAAAAGGGATTTTTGGATTTGAATGCCTGCATTTATGCCCTTCTGTGATTCATCGGCCTTTGATTTTTTCACCGGCAATCTTCGCTGTACTCACTCAGCTTCCGTCACTGTTTGCTTGTTTAAAGCCTCATCACCGCTTTCGGATTTTTTTTCTAAATCTTTGTTTCACTTCGCATTTGTCATTCTCTGCTTTCAGGCGTAAATTTTTTTCTGACTTATTTTTTATTTAGATTTTTTTATATCAGCGTGGGGGTAGTGAATTCCACGCCATTGGGCCTAAGGCATGCATCCTGCAGCAAAATCGTATCCTATCTCCGCCGTCGCCACCGTTGCCATCGTATATTCCCCGGTATCCAGCCTTTGGAAGCGCTTTTGTATTTTGTGTACACTCATTACTCGCATACAACGTCTGACTCGGCGTCTCGCTCGACCTTCATTCTTCCGCCATCGTAAAGTCATTGCAACGGCCATTATACTCACTCACTCATACCCATTTCCTCTTGTGTGCCATCGGCATATGTATGAGAACTGCGAATGGGTGTGTGTCAGTGTGATCGCGGGCTTGTGAAAAATTTTAGCAGAAAATGTACTTAAAATGTAACAATATGTATCACTATTTTATTTTAAGTATCAAAGTATCAATATGAAATAAAACCAATAATTTTTATGAAAAGCCATTTTTCAAAACAATTTAACATTTATTGATTGCATCAGTTGTACTTGGTACTAGTATAATAATAATAACAAAAATATATATGTATATATATTATATAGTCTTATTTTTAGTTTAAATACTTTAATGTTGTATTTATAGGGCTCAGAATTCAAATTTTTTAATCATTTTTAGGGCATTTCGAAAAAATTATGCATCCCACCATTGGCAAAATGGAGTGATTTGTTCGATTTGTTTTGATCAAATTCAGATCTGAGAAAATCCGTTCTTTCTGCGGCAGTGCCGTGCGGCAAATATAACAAGCTAAAAATAAAAGAAGTTAGTTCGAAATAGAAAAAGTTATTTAAAGCATTTTTTAGCTTAAGCCATTGCTTACTTCCCCTGTTCTACGCCTTCTACGCAATCTATTTTATTTGTCTTTATCGCTTTCTTTGCACAAGTTAGGAAACTTGTTTTAAACTGTTAAAAATATCAAATTAGCGCTTTCATCATACAGGGTGGGCCATATAAGACCTACCAATTTCACGCAGCGGTCCATAGTTTGCCTAGCAGTGTGCGCAGTCGCTCCATATTGTTGGCACCACAAATTAGAATGCTTCCCTCCCGTTAGCCGCAAAAAGTTGTCAATCTTTGTACTGTAACAAGCCCCTGAAATGGTTTCTGGCGTTTCATCCTCATTCTCAAAGAAATATGGACCGATTACATTTTCGGCTATAACACCGCACCGAACAGTGCATCTGGATGGGTGTAACTGGTGCTGGTGTGATGCCCTTGGATTTTCAGAGCCCCGAAATCTACCCTTTTGCTTGGAAATGCGCTTCATCCGACATCAAAGCTGTACCTAAAAAATCAATTTGTGTGGCTAATTGTATAAAACGAATTGCGTATTGTAGACGTGGTTGGTGGTCTTGCTGTAAGTATCCATTATGATTTTCCAAGAGATTAAATATAACATGCAGAAAGAAAATAACAATAATATTCATAAATAAAGAAGTTATACATGTTTAACATTGGTAGGTCTGATTTGGCCCACCCTGTATAACAATGATTGATTACATGCAAGGCTTTTCAAAATTTCACTGTTAAAATCAAATCTCGGTTCAATATAACATTGCTGAATATATATATTTATAGATTTTTTTTTTTAGTTAGCACTTTACTTAAATGTGCTCCTGATATTTACGTCTTTGCGGCACAAGTAATATCGAGCCCTAACCGCCAAAATAACGTAAGCGACATTTTTTTCAAAATTTTCTTTTTGATGCAGAAATGCATCTAGATGCTCTAGGAGTATTTCTGCATCAAAAAGAAAATTTTGAAAAAAATTTCGCTTACGTAATTTTGGCGGTTAGGGCTCGAATAACTTATGCAATCTGTATGAATCACTTTGAAATTCTATTTTCATTCGATAGACAATATCCAAAATATTTGTCAAAATAAATAGTAAACTTTTATTGGTGCGACAATAGCTTGGTTCACACCCATGAATCAATAATTAAAGGTTTTGCAAGTAGCTTTTTTCTAAAATTTGACACTCCCACCCACAGGGATGGTTTTTGGAAGCAGGGGAAAAAAGGGAAGAATTCAATCAAACTTCCTAAAATGGTAGCTAAATTCCACAAAAAGGTGGATATAATAGTGCATAGTGGTATTTTAAAACAAAAACAAATTTGATTTAGTTATTTAATTTAAACCAGCTTATTTACATCGAATATAACCCAGGATTGTTATTAAAAATAAATATTTATATGTATGTATATACCAAAGTTGAGTACGCCAGACGGCGCATAACTCGAGAATGGATGGTCCACTTTGAGCTATATTTTTTTGTGTTTGCTTACTTTGGGAACTCTTTGCCTTGCTTTTGCATTTACAGTTGATGGATATGAAGAAGCTATTTGCTTGTGAAAAAAACGACAGATAAAAAACATTTGGAGCTTAAGTTTCTCTCGCGGTTTTGACTCGATTGCTTCCAACATGGTAGTTCGAGTTCTTCGATTATGCACTTTTAGTGTTCTGGTGAGATTATACAGTCGCAATTAGCGATTCGTGCTGGTCGAACTCAGGAAGAATAAAAAGGACACCCAGCTACTGAACGACGTCAAATGAGTATTGCCGTAACTGCGCAATCACATCGCGCCACTGACTAAACCGAGCTGCCTTGTGTTACGATTGATACCATGGATGTGCCAATATTATATTGCGTCGAGGTCTGATTCGGGGACACCAGGATTGTGTTTTGTAGGTCAATACCTAAATACCTTCGTTTACTCATTTACCAGAACCATTTTCAATCTCATAAATTGTATATAATGACTTTTGCTAAAATTTCCAAATCAAAAGTTATCAAAACAAATTCTATGGGACTGAGAATTATTATTTTCTACTTTTTAGTCCATTTATTAAAGCGTTTTATATTAAAAAGTTTATTTATATTATTTATTTTCTACTTTTTAGTCCTGTCTGTATAAAATTTTGCAACAGATATTAAAATAATTCAACGATATTAATAGACTGGTGCACACACATGCATATTCATATGTATGTACATACATACGAGCACGAATTTATTTCATTTAAAGAAGTGGCGTGGGAAATGGCATAGGGCGACATCTACCTCTCGAGCCAACGAGGTTGATGTCTAGACTTTATAGGTACTTTGCAAAGCAAAGCTTTTATAGCTGTCTGGACACACAACATTGAAAGTGAATGGACCCACAACATTGCAAATTGATAAACGCGTTGTAATAAAATAATTTCAACGCTCTCCACTGGGGCAGCAAACCATCAACAACTTGCTTCAGCAATAACCAGCGACCGTTTGACCCTCGAAATATTTTATGATTTTTAGCACCAACGTAGTTTTGAAACTCGGCAAATTCATCTACCCTTTTAGCGCTATGTGCGACGAAATTGTAATCGTCTCTGACAAGTTTTTCGACTTCTACGGACATTTTTTTACACGATTGGAAAAGTATCAAAATTTAAAAAGAAGTATCACTGTTGATCCATTTGGATCAAAACGGTCACACTGGTGTGTGTATACATTTACATGTATTCCACTTGAGACGTTCCTTTGTTTTATTGCTTTGTGGCGTTGCAGCTGCTGCATTGCAAAACGGGTGGCAGGGAAATGGAGGGTGGGCTCGAATCCAGCGGATCGTATGCAAGGCAATGGCAATGCATTCTGTCAGGCTTACCGCAATTTTTTGTGCACTCAGTGTTAAAAAGTTGAATTTTCAACATGAACAGCAAAAAGGATTGCTGAGAGTTTATTAAAATTTATCAAAACGTGATTTTGAATGTTTGCCGCTTGACTTCCATTTCCAAACGAAAAAAAATGTATATGCATAAGCAAAAGCAACACAGCTCGACCAACTAGAGATATGTATGTTATGTTTTTTTGTTTTTGTGTACCTATTCATTCATTTTGCTTTTTTGTTTTATTTGCAAGCATTTTGTTTTTACTTCAAGTGTAAAATTAATTGCAGTGCAACTTTCACGCCCTTCTCATGCCACGCCTTTTTCCAGATTCATATTTTTAAGCACAATTATTTGCATGTCCTTGGCTTTCATGCATTTACCTACACTTCGATATTTGTGTTTGCATTCATGCCATTCATCTCTGCTTGGCACTACACGCTGGCGCTGAGTGTGTGCGTCCATATGGATTTTTTTCAAAAGGATTTCGTTTCTTTTTGTTTTGCGCCGCATACAAAACAAACGCCTCGTTAGTCCTCTAAAGGCTTAAGTAAGATTAAAAATCTCGTCACTTGTGTTTTACACTTCCTTTCCCCTACGCCTGATAGTAGTTAAAAATCTCACTTTATAATTTCCCTCTGGGATATTTCGGCTATTGCGGAGTGAGAAGCCACGCTCGAGGAATAACCAAGCATCGGTTTAATTAAAAAAAAAATTTTGAAATGAATTTCCGGGTTGGGTCGACCAGAAATACCACTATTTTCAATTGAGTTATAAACAAATCGATTCGACTCGAGGGAAATGGTTTATTTATTATGTACGTATAGTAATTGGCGGCTGCTGTGGTGTAGTGGTTAGCAGTGCGCGCTACCATTTCACCGGGTCTGGGTTCAAGGGCGGTTCAACGCAAGATCAAAAAATAAAAAACAAAAACGTGGTCGCCTCTCGGCATAAAAATACAGTCGCCGTTCGGAGTCGGCGTAAAACTGTAGGTCCTTCCCCTTTGTGTGAAAACGTTAAGGCGCACGCCACAAATCGGAGGAAAAGCTCGGCTAAACACTAACAAATGTTCCAGTGCCAGTTTATTATTAATATTAATTGCTTTGAGCCTAACGAATTTATTTATCCTATTTTTCTTCCGCTGTAGTTTATTTATGGAACTGCTTGTGCTAACGTCCTGAAACCTGGCACAGCTATTTATGCTAACAATAACGTACTTACGGCGAAAAGTGGTAGGTATTGGAACAGGTGGCGAGGCACCCATACAAACTGAACATCTCATATCGCTTATCTGTATAACCGCTTATGTTAAAATTTTGAAACTTGACTCAGCTTTTAGAGAAGCAAATATTATATATTGCTTTACACCTTCGATGTACTTTTTTAATCTCTACCGATTCTGATAAAAAAAGAGGAGTTTATGTAGCTGTTCGCAATTTAGTTTTTAACCTCCAGTGAGAATTGATATATGTTCAACATATAAGTCAGTGAGGAACTGTTAGGGATCTCATCGATACATACAAATATATATATGTACATATTTTTTTTTTATGGAAATTGATGTTCCTTTCGCGGTATAGTCTGGACAGTTACTGAAAAAATGTGGTTTTAAGTTTTCCGTAAATTCGCTATAAATTTTGATAGTGGACTTCAAAATCGTCATTCGCATAAAGGAGCCAAAATTGGTGACAACCAAAATTCAAAATTGTATGAAAAAGGATGTTGAGTTTCGACAACTGGACGATTCTAGTTAATACCATATTTCTTCAACAGATTCATGCCTTAAGGTGCAAAATTCGCAAAATTTACGCGGTAGCGAAAAACACTAGTATCATGGCAAGCTGTTGGGTATTTGCCCGAGTTCCTCCTCCGATTTTTAGCGTGCGCCTTGAAGTTGTCACACAAAGGAGAGGGGCCTACAGTTTTACGCCGACTCCGATCGGCGATTGTATTTTTATGAGAAACTGTTTTTCATGGCAGAAATACACTCGGAGGTTTGCCATTGCCTGCCGAGCGCGACCTGCCAGCAAGAACGTCTTAATTTTTTTGAGAAGGGTTGCCACCGGTTTATAATTATTGTTTTTGTGCAGAGCTCTAGATTTCCTCCGTTTTCTCGATTTTTAAATGTGGTGCCAAATGAAAGGAATTGACTTAGGGCTTGCGTGCTTTGGGTTTAATTTTTATCCGAGTTCAAAAAAGGGAGGAGGTTACCAGTTCGTCGGAATATTTTTTTTTTTTTTATGTATGCTACCGGATAACTTTTGACTCCGATTACGATAATTCTTTTTTCATCGGAAAGGTGGTACCTCAAGGGTGGTCCCATACTAATTTTGTTTAGATCCGATAATTAGATCGTAAAGAAATTAACGATAATCTTAAATTTTTATATGCGAATTTAAATTGGTTTTGTTTTTTGCTTAAAAACTTCTTGTTTTTTAAGGTTTGCTACATAATTATAAATCTATTGTTTGTAATATGATACTCAGTGAAATATCGCAATATGGGCATCAAGAGAAAGGATTTTGAGACTATTAAAAAATATATATGTAACTATGAACGGTAAGTAACGTATTAAAGACATTCGATATTGGTATCAAACGCCAGCTAGTTAAAAGTAAAAGTAAGTAAAAAATGCGAATCTTCGAGGGTTGTCATCTAGTTAACCATTTATTGATTGAAACATTCTAATTAATTAAAATTTTACAAAGTTGGCTTCTAACAAAAATTCCCAAAAGCCTTCTTAA